GTTGACCCTTATTTTTCTCTCTCTCTTCCTCTCTACCTATTTCCCTCCCTTTGCATCTATCTCCCTAGCGTTTTTATAGAATCACTGCCAGTGTCTCTGGGAGGAGAGGGTAATATTACATATTCAGGCAACCCAATGACGGCTCGTAGATCGTTCTTTGCAGCCTAAGATAGTAGTTCACGTACTGTAGGTATAGCCCGGGCGAGGTTCAGCTTCGTATATCTGGTTTATCCTCACTGTTATAGATATACAAAAACTAAAAAAAAAAATAATAAAGATAAAAATAAAATCCTCATGAAAAATAAAGAATTCACAATATCAAACCTGCTCGCAGATGATGAGAAAATAATAAGTAATCACTTGTCTAAGGGAGACAAAGCTTGCCGCTGATTGATGGCCAAAATATCCAACAAGCAAGCAAGCAAGTTACAAAATCACTGCCAGCGTCCTTGATTACTGGGCCCAGAACTCCACCTGGGATGAGGACTGAGAAAATCACATATTCAGTCAACCCAGTGACGGAGGGCAGGTCGTTGTTTGCAATCTGACCAAAGTAGTAGCTCACGTCCCGATAATTGTAATGTGCTGATCATTGGGTTCGGAGTCGAGGTAAACATGTGTTCCCTGATAGGCCTATGTAACTATGATCTAACGATTACTATGAATTACACATTTGACACGTGGCAATCGGAGGTGATTTTTAAAATTGGTGTTTTATGAATACAACACAACAATTATACGTCTACAGGGGCAGGAAAACAGAGGATGAACAGAGAAAACAGTGAACATTCAGATGCACGTGCGTCATGGGAGGTCACATAAATCATGTATATTCATGCATTATTCAAGATATCAAAATATGTGTATACATGTAGATAAGCGTAACTATGAATATTTAAGTTAACATCCAACAGATATAACACTGATAGCACAAGTATAAATAGCAACAGCGGAAACAACACATAAAATTGGTAAAACTCGATTCTACATTTTCTCTCCCATTGTCTCTGTCTCTCTTTCTTTCTTTCCGCCTTTTTTTTTTTTTTTTCCTTCCACCCTTTCTTCCTTCCCTTCCGTTCCTTCGTCCCTCCTCTCGTCTCTCTCTCTCCCTCCCTCTCTCCGCCTCTCCCTCGCTCTTTGGCCCTCCTATCTCTGTCCGTCTTTCCCTTTCTCTCCATTCTCCCTTTCTCACGGTCTCGCCTTCCCTCTGCGTCTCCTTATCCTTATCCTTCTTTTTTCTCTCACTATTTCTCTATGATCAATTAGGGATATAACTCGCCCAAAATAATCATGTGCATTTGGTTATAGTTTATGCCTTAATTCTTGGTTCAAATGCTTTCTATCGAACCTGGTGACAGAAAATGTTTTTTAGCGGCAACTAAATTATTCTCACACCTATTGTTGAGACTCGCATTTTGATGGTATATTCCATGTACCAAATTTTATTTTCATATCATAACCATTGGCATCGCTATTATTATTATCGCCATCATTATCATCCATCATCATCACCACCACCACCACCACCATCATCATCATCACCATCATCAACACCATCACCATCGCCATCATCACCATCATCATCAATATTATCATCATCACTATCATTATAATCATCAATATCATCATCATCATCATCATCACTATCATTATAATCATCAACATCATCATCATCATCATCATCATCATCATCACAATAAGATACTAGGATTACATAATGGTCGTTAATGTAAAAATGAAATCAAGCACACGGCATAATAAGATTTTCATATTGCAGATAAAACAAAGGATATAAAACCAGATAAAAGATTGGCTTTTATTAGCATTTATATAAGAGGGAAAACTGTGATAAG